AGTCCCCAGTAAGGGACGAAACGTACAACTAGTTCAAAATAAATTGTTCATTAGATTTATTAACCATCTATAATTCCCTTTGAGACTTATATATTTCAATTAACCTTTTGACTATACTACACGAAATATTATTATCAAGTTTTGCTTTGAGTGCTTAACGATCAAAAAATTAATAAATATAACAATATAAAAAAGATAAAACTCACTTTTTTGACAAAATCTTCTATCTGGCGTCTTTTAGTTTGAACTGGTTGATTATCACCAAGATTATTGCTTTGCTTCTTTTCAGTATTAACACCTATTAGTGAAGGAGGTGGTGTGGATCCAGGAAAAATAGATACTGGTGGAGAATGAACAGTAGAAGCTATTAATGGTTGTTTTAAACGCTGTAACTCTGCTCGAGTTGCTTGCAATAACGCAGATTGCTCTTTCAGTTCTCTTGTAACAGCCTAGTATAGATAATTAATAAAAGATAATTTTATTCGATATAATATTTTTCCAATGAACCACTTATTGCGTTCATACCTGAACTTCTTCAACTGTTGGTCTATGTCTAGAATTTCTGGATTTTTCGCGAGTTACATCGTCATTATCAATATGATTTTCCGACGTATTACTTGCACTACATAAACTAGCACCTTCTTCTAGAGATTCATTTTCTTCTCTCCCTTCACCATTAACATCCAAATCAGGTTCAGGTTCTGAAGTAGAATCTAGACATTCTCTGACTCTGGTAGCTTCTTCCATTAAAGCTTTTAAATGGTTGAGTTGTGCTTTCATTACTTCTAATTCTGCTGCTTTATCTCTACTAGCATTTCTAGAGCCATCAGAGCTCTAAATGTAAAAAATCAACTATAATAAGATGAAATTATTTTCTAATTAAAATAAAATTACATACTAAAGCATACTAACACAACTTGCTCTGTCCGACATTTCCACAACTTGCAACTCAGCTAATAGATGATCCATATGTTTCTTCTTAGTTTGTAATTGAGTAAGTTTGCCTCTCAATACAGCTGTCTCTGATTGTAATTCTTCAACATTTGATGGCAATGGCACGGGCATACGATTATTGCCTTCCCATGTAGAAGTTCCAGCATCTTGATTTTCTTGTTGCAATAAAGCTTGTTGGGCTTGTCGAGCTTCATTTAATCTTTCCCTAACACGTAATTGCATTCCAACTAAATTCGCATGATATTCCTGCAATTGTACAAGCTTCCTTTGAGATTCTTCCATTTTTCTACGTAATATTATTTCTCTATTGGTTTCAGTATTTTCTTCTCCATCTTCTTTTCCACTATCGCCATTCTGTGATAAAATAATACAAAAATATTATTAATAATAGTCATATAGAAATTTGAGAGTGTGTTGCTGCATGGTGATCAAGTGAGAAAACGAGCACTTCTATTTTAATGTCTTATATAAAAAAAATATTTATAAAGCATTCGTAAATAAGTTGGTCCAATAGAGTGTTCCAGATCATCTAAAAGCCCAACTCTTTTTACGAATCCTAAAATCCAGAAATAGGTTCCGAGATGGAGGATATAATTGCCATGCTTATAGAAATCGCACAGCAAGAAAAAATAAATTAATAATGTGAATTTAATAACATGATAATTAAACGGAAGATTTACAGTGAAAGGAGAAAAATACCACGAATCGTCGACACAAAAGCGATACGAAGAGTGATTTGGGCAACTAGCAAACAATTTTACAAGAAGCTCAACATCCTCGAACATTTTAAAGATGTTCAAGGAGGAACGAATACATTTCAATGTCTTGGTGGTCTCTTAGTTATACAGATATTCTATTTATAATCTAAAAATATAGAAATTAAGATTGATATTTATAGAATTATATATGTAAAATATTTAACAAATTGTAAAACAAGAAAATTAAACTTATAATACTATAAGTTTTCGGTTGTGTGCATGTAAGATTTGGATTGAAATATTTCATTTAAATGACCGTCTGGTATAGAGATTGCAGTGTACATATTTTACAGAGAGAATATAAAATAAAATCTGTATCTCGAAAAGATATTCTTTAAAATTTTTTAAATTGCTTTTGCTTTTGGTATTATTATTAACAATAAATGAGAAGAGCATGCCACTGATGTTAGTTATTTGAAGTCATGTTAAAGTTATGTGGCAATAACCTGATTTGTAATCCCATGATCGTGATATGTTTCCAAAAGTTTCGCCAATTTTGTTTCACTGTCACGAAGTCCCTCCACCATTCTGCTTAATTTTTCATTCTGCTTTTGAGCTCGCTATAGCAGATTTATAGTAGACAATGAACACGGAGAAATGATTGAATAAAAAAGAAAAAATGTAGCATGCTTTTAATAATTAAAAGTATGCTATACTTACTGGATCGCTAGATTGACTAAGAGAATCCATCATTGTTGAAGTAACACCGATATAGTCACGAATTTGATTCAAACGACTTTCCACTTGATTTCTATCAGGCTAAAAAGATATTTCATTTTTTAGTAACAAATTTGTATGCTTTTATTATAATTCAATAAAATTATTAATACCATTTTATCAACATTGGATGGTTTGGTTCCTTGTAAACATGGAGGTGACTGTGTTTGAGAATCTGCTGGTAGCACCATTTTTGACCAAGGTGTACAATCTTCAGTTGAATAATTGCAATGTCTTCTACCACTATGTGATACTATATAAAGAATATTATAATATAATAATAACGACACATAAATCGATTAGAATAATTATTTTCTAGAAACTTCTGGATACCTACCAAACTCGGTAATTTCCTGATAAGATGTAGAAGGAAGCGATGAAACTGATCTAGTGTTGCTATTTTTTGTCGTTCTTAGGGGTCCTCTTTCACTTACAAGTTGCCAATCAAGCTGGAACTAATAAATGAGTTTAGTTTTAGTTTAAAATATTTATATCTAATTAAAATTATTACAATTTATATAGAGTCTAGAACAGCTCAGCACAGACGACTCAACCACGCTAAAGTAACAGCTTTCCACATATTGTATTCTTAGAACAAGTATCACCCCACTACTCAACAGTATATTAATAGACTACATCCTAAATAGTAAAGTATGGCTGGCATTAAATAAGCAGGAACATAGTTTTCTATTGGTTGCATTCCAAAATTAGGAAAAACAGCTTCTATTACATTATTTTATTGATTCTTATGCGACCAATACTTGGTATATATTATAATTATATAAAGTTGTGCATAATTTTTGTTGAATTTTTTCATTATGCGTGCAATGAAATTATAAGATCATATAACTGCAAAGTTGATTAAATGAATGCACAATAGGTAGTATATAGATCAATACCAAATTGTTAGAATGCTGTGGTTCATGACTGTGATAAGCAGAACGATTAGCCATTTGTTGATTAGCTGCGGATCGTTCTCTGTTTCTGTCGCTTCTTCTGTTACTTTTTGGAAGAGTGCCTGTGTTACGGGGGGGACCATCGTTTACGCCTGACGACATATCTTTGTTTTGTTTGTTCTTGTACAATGGGTCACATATACTATAAAAAAAAATTATTTTTATTGAAATATCTTACATCAGCAATTGGCCATATCAATGAAACTTACATTATATTATATTATTGAGTGCGACCACAATGAAAATGTCCACATGCACCAAAGAGTTAAACAAATTTACAACTGATGAAAGGAATGGTCTGTGCGACAGATTGACCACTTGGAAAATATGTAAACTGCATCCAAGAATGTCTTACGTCAAAGTTGTTGGCAGGCTAATAAAAAGAATTGATTACTATAAATAAAGTTAGGCCATTGACGCATTCGTTGCAATGATTAGTACATTAGCTGCAACTTTAAAATACTGATCTAACTGCAATCCATTTTGCGGCCATTTTTAAATACAGGTTGACATTTTGTTTATTTGCTGCAATGTACCTGCCGGTTAAAAGAGTATGATCTTACACTTTGAACATTAAATTCATTCATTTAATTATGTACAAAAAATATTAACAAATATATTTAATTTTACGTTTCGTTTGTTAAATTTGTAGTTTTTAACAATTGTTAGGACACTTGCATACACATACATATACACAAAGTAGAAAAATATTATTATTTTTCGGAATTATATATATATATTATTAATCATTAATATATATAAAAATAAGAAAGTAATTATTCGGAAAAATAATTACTATTCAGACGAAAAATTGTTGGTTGCTACACCAACGATCAAACTGTCTAAAAAAATAATTTCATTTTTTTAGACAGTTAGGTGATGCCATCTAGACGGCATTACGGTACTATTATGCAATCTGAAGTGCGGTGCATTTGATACCAAGATGGCATCGTTTCGCGCCATATAACCAAGTCGTTTTTAATAATAAATAGATTTAGTGAAAATGTGTAGATAATAAATACGAAGAAAGTTTTTATTTAATCAAGTATATAACAAAGTCTCTGGACGAGTTTAAAAACTACAAATATGGATGCAGCAACGTGTGGTAAGTAATCAATTTGTATAAAAGGAATAAGAAAAGAATTTATTGATGGTTCGTATATAAATTTTCGCGCATATATTTATAAATGTTAAAAATATAAAAAGAATAAAAGGGAAAAATTAAAGAGGTTAAAGAAGTTAAAAAATTAAAACAAAAAAAATAGAGGAAAATAATTTGTGTCGGTAATGTTTTTACACAAAAAAATCTTCTTGGAGTGTTGTTACCCCCCCCCCCCCACTATACTCCCACACCTCGAGCACCGGTCTTACCTGTCCGATGCGCGCGACTTGCGATTGGAGAGGGGGAAGACGTGTTCGGGGCAAGAGAGACAGTTTTGCGCGGTGATCCGGACCGTTCGTAAGTACACGCGTATTATGAATCTGTGTGAGTTTTAACTTGCTTGCTCGGTCGGTTGCATGCGTGCATCAGTGTACGTGCGCGGGTTTACTTTCGGACTCTTTTATTCAACATTTTTTTAATCCCTAATTACCTGTGTGAAATGCTGACGAGCTGGCGACATGCCTACGATAGTATAAACACCATCGAACGCATAACACCATATTGGTGAGTCTTATATCTCTTTGTTTATATCGATAATTTTGATATACTTATCTTTCTTCTTTCGCGAGAGAAAAATAGAGAGAGAGATAGATAGATAGATAGAGAGAGAGAGAGAGAGGGAGGGTGGGAGAGGGCGGGGAGAGAAAGAGATAGAAGATTTGAGGTTAGGTCGAACGTTTCGTTATAATATAAAAATTGTTTATTAAAAATTTTAATTGGTAAAAAAAAAGAAAAAAATAGGTGTCTATTATATCATTACAAGTTACGTAATAATGAGACCACGTGGAGTACTATGTTTTTGTTTTCTCTTTTCTGTTTGTCTTTCTTTCTTTTATTCTTCTTTTCATTCATCCATAACACGAGAAACTGATTTTTTGTTGTATTGACGAAATTTACTATTTATCTATGTACCTGTCATTACGGTAGTTTTGTAAAAGAATACGTTTAAAATGAATAGCGATATGATAACAAGTAAAGCTCATTTCTAAAAATGTCTCAATGCACTTTGACATAGCACGTGCTTCTCTGTCATAATAGACTCAACTTGGTATTACGTGCATTACGTTAGATGTAAGCACCTTATTAACCTTTCGATTAAACCTAATTGTGAAGAAGTTCGTGTTGCAAAAGAGATTGTTAAAAAAGAAACTAGTTCAATATTCAAACATGCATTTATATACGAGTAATATTATCAATTGATTTCACGAGAAAACAGTAGGAAACAATGGGGGCAGAATTTAAATAACTGGTTGTAGAGTATCGGGAAATAAAGAATAAGAAATATTTTTATCGAGTGAAAGTGCATTTTATTTCTTTCTCTCTCAAGGATCACTCGACGATGATATTACTTTTATGACCTTTATACTTCTATGGATAAAGTTTTTTTTTTTTTTCTTTTTTTACTTTGATTCATCATTTTTTATTTTAAATATCGAAGAGAAAGAGAGATAGAAGAGCATCAAGGGTATACTATTGCATTTATCGTGTCTAGAGATCGACGTACCACTGCATCGTGGCGTCTTAAATTATGTAAGACATGAAAATAGAAACAGACATGCGGTGTTAGACTGTAGGGGAACCTTTGATATACATAGTTCTCGTATACAAAATATATCACTTATGATTCTAGTACGTCGACATTTCTATTTCGTATATAGGTATATCCATGTTGACTTTTAATATTTCTTCCGTGAACGATGGTGATCGATTAGACATAAGAGATAATATATATGCAATCGGAAGATGTGATGTATCTTTTACGAAAAATTTTATTTCATATATACAAATATCACAATAATATATTTTCTTGTATCGACTAAGTTTCAAGTAAATGCAACTATCCTTACGGAAAACATTGTTAACTTGATTAATTAATTAATTCGTTATCTATTATAAATCATTCGAAAGGATAGAAGAATAAGTCAGTCATTGAGCACGATGTTTAACAACTTAGTTGAAATTTTGGATCCCTAATTAAAACGACACTCCGTCTAACCGCTGCATGCCGAAATTCGAGGTCGAGAAAATATAACGGCGATTGCACTTAAGACTAACTACTTGTTGCATAATGCATCGATCCCTACCGAACAAACCTTGGCCCTCCAAAGTGTCTTTCGAGAGAGATCCTTTAAAATGGTGTGTCGTGATGTTTAATCGTGATCGAGCACGTGCGAACGCGACACGCTTTACTATCCCATATATACATGCATACATACATACATGTGTGTTCGTATATATATGTATATATATTCTGCATATAAATGAAAGTAAGTTGTATATAAATATAGACATGTGTAAGTGTAACAGCACGAAGAAAAGTCGATACGTTTGTAGGCTGACTTTTCCCTTCATTCACAAGGAACTCTCACGTCTGCTGTTATGTATATATAACATCTTCGTATCTATGTATTCATTGTATGTCTCATAGAAGGTCTTGCTTTTATATTTTAAACTGAAGTATGTAATCGATAGCTCTCTGTGTAAGCCACGTTAAATCAAGAAACTTTACGTGATCTGTACTATCGCGTGTCCTCTTTTTACGGTTATGATTTTCTCTCGTGTGAAATTAACTTCCGTAACGAGTTCAAGGTATTTTTATATTGCTATTTGATTCTCGGTAGCACGCTTTAACGTCAAATGTCACATGAGATTCCTATCCTTTTTCTTGTTGTTCTTATTGTTGTTGTTTGAACCTATGAATGTTTCCAGTAAACGTTGGAGAAAATAATAAAAATAATGCACATATATATGTTATAATATATTATTATAATGGATATGTTGATTTTGAATAAAAATGATTAATCCATTCTCAAAAAGTTCAAATTAAAAATATCCTTGGATGAGATTTATTATAATATTTATTTGTTTCGGATCTAACGAATAAAACGTGTGTTTCACTGACGAATTTTTCTTTCGTTGCACACACGCCTTTTGTTTTATTTATAGTTTTAATAGGGAGATCGAGTAACACATCGTATGAGGATTTTTCGAGATGCATGCGATTATATCGCCCAACGAGCACCACCGGCCAGCTTTTCTCATTCCGTACGACCCAATTCATACTGGTTATTTTTGCGAAGAATGGGAACAACCTGAAAGACGGGAATTCGAAAATCCTTTTCGTTAATTCCCGCCGGCTTCATATAAAAAGAAAAAAGAAAAAGAACAAACGAGAGACCTGATTTTTTTAACAAATCAACACCTCCTCGTCTCTTCCCATTGTTATCCGCGTTGTATTAAAAAAAGAATCTTAAGATCAGCGTCGTCTTATCGCAAATTTCTAACTATTTTAGTTAAATTAATAATCATAGAAAATATATTTTAATGTCAATGTGCATTGTCATGATCATTCCTTTCGATCAAACGATAATGAACTCGTTTTATGACTTCATTACGAACAGCCAAGAAAACAGAACAAGTTTCAAACGTTGAAAATGAAAGTCCGGCCAAATACACGAAATTCTATCGTTGATAAGACTAATAACACCAATCATCGTGCAACATGTATGTTACGAATAATCGTTTGCCAAAACAAATATATTATATTAAACGACATTTCCTTAACTTTTCATTCGCGGTGTGCCTCGTCAAATAAACGAAAGATCGCCAAAGATTATCGAATCTTGTTTTTTTTTTATTTTTACAGGTGTAGATGATGTTTGTATATTACATATGTTGAGATTATGAAATTTGCGAATGAAAATGCTATATAACTTTGTATGAACGGTTGGTATTTTGGCGACTTTCGGTGTTTACAGAAATAAATTAAATCGTCCACCGGTTGACCACACTCTCTCTCTCTCTCTCTCTTTCAGATCTACACAATTCAAATATATGTTTCTAGGTACAACCTGTTCCGTCAGTAGTTTATACACATTCTCATCGCTTCTGGCAATTAGAAAGTCACTCTCTAAAATGTGCCAACTGCGGTCTATCATTTTTTAACATCGAATAAACGGAATTAAAGTTACAATGGAATTCATTGTAGTTTGTAGGTCAGAACAATATAACATCCATTCGTTGCATAATAACAATTAACAAATTTCCTTCCTTTTTCTTTCTTTTTTGTATTTCCATTTATACAGTTGTTTTCATTGTAACTTGTACAAATCAATTTCCGATCAATTAAAATCCTATCGAATAAATCATTCTTCATTTCCGGAATAGTAATAATAGTTCAGGAATTCAGTAGCATTTTCGATATACAAATCGTAATTATGTTAACGTTATATAGATACACATATACATTTATAAATTGATATCATTGTTATTTTCGTAGGATCGATAGGCACTTTGCGAATGCAATTTCAATTGAATATTATCTGTTTATATGATGCTACAATTAATTAAATAACAATCAGTTTTCATTAGTTCTTGTCAACGATGATGAACAAGTAATGGGAAAGATATACGAAGTTCGTTAATTCATGGTTTCTTTTTTTTTCGAAGGAGTGGCTGGAAACACAATGGGGTGTTCTCACCCCCCACCCCCCCAATATACTTGATAAAGGCTTTGCCCTACGATTGAAACGCGAAGAGTATTCAAAATAACGAGAATGATCACGCAATGGTATTTACGAATGAATTGAGTAGCTAATAGGAACGTAAACTTATGTGAATACGTTATCACGAGTTGTTATAACAGTATCTAATAGAAATAATAGACACATCGTGACATGTATACTTT